AATCATTAAAATGGCTCTATTAAACAAACTGACTAATAATGTAATGGATATGACGCATAATATTGTCACTTTAACACCCCAGACTGGCTTCAACACCCCCCAGACTGGCTTCAACACCCCCCAGACTGGCTTCAACACCCCCCAGACTGGCTTCAACACCCCCCAGACTGGCTTCAACACCCCCCAGACTGGCTTCAACACCCCCCAGACTGGCTTCATCAGCCCCAGACTGGCTTCAACACCCCCAGACTGACTTCAACACCCCCCACACTGGCTTCAACACCCCCCAGACTGGCTTCATAACCCCCAGACTGGCTTCAACACCCCCAAGACTGGCTTCATCACCCCCAAGACTGGCTTCATCACCCCCAGACAGGCTTCATCAGCCCCAGACTGGCTTCATCACCCCCAAGACTGGCTTCATCACCCCCAAGACTGGCTTCATCACCCCCAGACAGGCTTCATCAGCCCCAGACAGGCTTCATCAGCCCCAGACTGGCTTCAACACCCCCAAGACTGGCTTCATCACCCCCAGACAGGCTTCATCAGCCCCAGACAGGCTTCATCACCCCCAAGACTGGCTTCATCACCCCCAAGACAGGCTTCATCACCCCCAGACAGGCTTCATCAGCCCCAGACTGGCTTCAATACCCCCCAGACTGGCTTCAATACCCCCCAGACTGGCTTCAACACCCCCAGACTGGCTTCAATACCCCCCAGACTGGCTTCAACACCCCCCAGACTGGCTTCAACACCCCCAAGACTGGCTTCATCACCCCCAAGACTGGCTTCATCACCCCCAAGACTGGCTTCATCACCCCCAGACAGGCTTCATCAGCCCCAGACAGGCTTCAACGTCTTGGTCAATATCTGGAAGTAATTTATTATCCCTACTCTGGTTAATACCATCTGCGTCAAGTAGTTAAACCTGAACTATGTCAATTAATCTTCTTGCTTCGGGATTGCCAAGTAGAGCGGACCATTTTACGCTGAAGTTGCCAAGATCACCTCAGATTGGTATTAATGTTGTTTATAATGGATTTAATTTAGTCTTGCAGTAAAACATTTGACTGTTTAGGTTAGGTTTTGGTCATTTGATAGGATAGGTTAGGTTAGGTTAGGTTTTGGTCATTTGATAGGATAGGTTAGGTTAGGTTAGGTTAGGTTAGTTTTGGAGCCAAAAAAAAAAAAAAAACAATTCCAAACCTTACGTTAACAAATTTTATTGCAACGATTGTCAAATTTATTATTACCATTAATTTCAACAAACGCTTGAAATAAATTCTAACGTAATATTACAATAATTTTCAACGATTTTTTGGGCAATAAATTTAAACGCCAAGAAAATCCAAAGTCCCATATCGTTGTTGTCGTTAAGGATTTGCTACCTGGATCAAAAAGTCCCAAGAAACACGAGCTATGGTAAGTCCATCTTGTCCCATATCTTGCTAAAGAATTTAAGTTGGGTTTAATATCTTAGTTAATCAATAAACAGCACAACTCAAATATTTCCATTGCATGCAATCACTGAAAAACTTAATCAAGCTATATACAGTTGAGCTAATTGATTATAAATCCTGATAATCTGTGTTTGTGTCAAGGTAAGAATGACTGGACTCTTAGAATGTGAGCAGGCATCTAATTAATTTAGTTTTAGCGCTAAGCTTCGGACGTATGCATGGAAAAACCTTAATATTCTCCGGCGATCGAGTATAAACAGGTTTTTATCCAAGCCTCCATCAGCACATGCAATTTAAAACGCCCTACATTCTAGCTTCAAGTCTCGGACCAGAGAGAGAGAGAGAGAGAGAGAGAGAGAGAGAGAGAGAGAGAGAGAGAGAGAGAGAGAGAGAGAGAGAGAGAGAGAGAGAGAGCGCGACAGAGAGAGAGCGACAGAGAGAGAGCGACAGAGAGAGCGCGACAGAGAGAGCGACAGAGAGAGAGCGACAGAGAGAGACAGCAAGAGAGCAAGAGAGAGAGAGAGAGCGAGAGAAGAGAGAGAGAGAGAGAGCAAGAGAGAGAGAGAGAGAGCAAGAGAGAGAGAGAGAGCGCGAGAGCGAGAGAGAGGAGACAGAGCCAGAGAGAGACAGAGAGACCGGACCTCTTCAAAAACCACTTGAACCCCCCCCCCCAACCCCCCACCCACTCTCTCCGCCCCCTGAATATGTAATTAAGTACCCACTCCACATTTACCTGCACTTGCATGTGTAATTGCAGCGTAGGCCAGTTTCAAGCGAGTCAAAGAAAAGTGCTGACAAAACTTGTCCAAGGAACGGACACCGCTGCCTCGGTGCCTTTGTGCGGAGGACGAGAAGGGGGAAAAATGGGAGGATCGATGAGGGTAGAAACGGAGGAAAGAAATTAGTGAGGAAATTAGGAAGATTATGAGAGAAAAAGGAGAGTATGTGAGAGTGACTGAGAGCGAGAGAGAGTGAGAACGTTTAAGAGTGTGAAAGAGAATCTCACCTATTTGTACCAACCTAGTGTGACAGTGAGAAAGAGTAATAATATATATATATATATATATTAATATTATATATATATATATATATATATATATATATATATATATATATATATATATATGTCGTACCTAGTAGCCAGAACGCACTTCTCTGCCTACTATGCAAGGCCCGATTCACAGTGTACGTAATAAGAGTCACAGTGTACGTAATAAGAGTCACAGTGTACGTAATAAGAGTCACAGTGTACGTAATAAGAGTCACAGTGTACGTAATAAGAGTCACAGTGTACGTAATAAGAGTCACAGTGTACGTAATAAGAGTCACAGTGTACGTAATAAGAGTCACAGTGTACGTAATAAGAGTCACAGTGTACGTAATAAGAGATTCGTCTAAAGTCTGAGATGGAACAAACGCGTGTCAGCTGTGTCCTTAACACTGACAGGGGCGGAGCTGTGTGTGTGTGTGTGTGTGTGTGTGTGTGTGTGTGGTGTGTGTGTGTGTGTGTGTGTGGTGTGTGTGTTGTGTGTGTGTGTGTGAGAGAGAGAGAGAGAGAGAGAGAGAGAGAGAGAGAGAGAGAGAGAGAGAGAGAGAGACAGAGACAGAGACAGAGAGAGAGACAGAGAAGAGAGAGAGAGAGAGAGAGAGAGAGAGAGAGAGAGAGAGAGAGAGAGAGAGAGAGAGAGAGAGAGAGAGAGTATGAGCTCCGGACAATAAACAGCAACAGCATTGCATCTTCGGACCTGAGGGAAGGTGTCCAACGGAGGTGGTTCCCTTCATTGTCTCCTGGAAGGAGGTTGGTGACTCTTAGAATATTTAAAACTATTCTTCGAAAGATGGGCGAAGAACAAATTCTTCTTCAAGCCCAATTGTTCTCGCCAGGGTTGAGCCTCGGCTTATTAGTGACGCCTTTCAACCTACAATCACCTGGTGTACATTTCCCCGAGCCTATTAGGCTATCATCTCTACATTTGACAATGTGAGAGACTTACTCCGCTACTTCACGTCTTTTTTGTGCTTTACAATTGTTCTCTAGTTTAACTGTCTGTGACTGTACTTTCTGTATACATGTGTTCCTATACCTTCCATTCCTAATAATGTGTTTTCTGCTCGGTCAATTCCTCGGGGGAAGTTTGCATGCGGTAATCATGTCTCTCCCAACTCAGTCTTCTTCTTGAGGTTATCTTGAGATGATTTCGGGGCTTAGCGTTCCCGCGGCCCGGTTCTCGACCAGGCCCCCACCCCTAGAAAGCAGCCCGTGACAGCTGGCTAACTCCCAGGTACCTATTTACTGCTAGGTAATAGGGGCATCAGGGTGAAAGAAACTCTGCCCATTGTTTCTCGCCGGCGCCTGTGATCGAAGCCGGGACCACAGAAACACGCGTCCAGTGTTCTGTCCGCTCAGCCACAGTCTTACAGTCAAGTGAGGGTTAATTCTTTTAGTTTTTTCTAATAACCAATCCATCTGAGCTGTTACTAGTCTAATGGTTGTTGTTTTAGATTTAGCTACTCAGAACGAAGTGTCCATGTAGCACGGGCTATGGTGAGCCCGTGTAGTCTAATGGCATACATATGCCTTATACATTGTCCTAAATGCCACTGAACTGAGGTGTTGTAAAGCAGTTCTTATCCTGGCCAACCTGTAGCTGATATCCACCTTAAGCCCAAATGTGTTGCCTTCGAGCAGACAGGATTAGAACGGAGTTATCACGAGTGTGTCACGTCAGTGTGACTGTACGGCACATGTAAAGAACATGAGAACAGGAAGGGAGTTGGGATAGGACTACGTGAAGGAACGGTGCCCAACCACTTTGACTATCGGTGATCGAAGGCCAGGCTCGAGCGGTCAGGAACTCGCCATTTTACGATCTGAGAAGTTTGTTTCTCGCAGCAGCAGCAGCCGCCAGGGAACTGTCGAGTTTGAGGTGGACTCTGGTCAGCCACCTTGGCTACCATGTATGTTATCATTACCTGTGGTTACGTTCAGCTGAGAGCTTACCTACACACTCATGCCCACACACACACTCGTGCCCACACACTCACTCTTGTGCCCCCCACCACACACACACACCACGTGCCCACCACACACACACCCACGTGCCCACACACACACTCGTGCCCACACACCCACGTGCCCACAAACACACTCGTGCCCACACACACACACACAATCGTGCCCACACACACACACACACACACACTCGTGCCCACACACACACCCTCATGCCCACACACACACACACACACTCGTGCCCACACACACACACACACACACACACACACCCTCGTGCCCACACACAAATCACAGAAGCGTTCATTGTGGGTATGCTACTGTCATGTGTGTGTTAGTGTCTTTTTCAGATGAATCCAGGGGATACTTATCGTGTGTGAATGTAGTTATTTCTTCAGTGTGTCTTCCTGATAATAGTTATTGGTATTTCCAATGTGTCCATGCACTCTTAAAGACACAAGTGCATACTAGCAGTGCTGAGTGGCCGTGTTAACGTGTGTGTACTCACCTAGTTGTGTCCTGCAGGATCGAGCACCGACTCTTGGATCCCGCCTTTCGAGCATCGGTTGTTTACAGCAATGACTCCTGTCCCATTTCCCTATCATACCTGGTTTTAAAATTATGAATAGTATTTGCTTCCACAACCTGTTCCTGAAGTGCATTCCATTTCCCCACTACTCTCACGCTAAAAGAAAACTTCCTAACATCTCTGTGACTCATCTGAGTTTCAAGCTTCCATCCATGTCCCCTCGTTCTGTTACTATTCCGTGTGAACATTTCGTCTATGTCCACTCTGTCAATCCCTCTGAGTATCTTATACGTTCCTATCATGTCCCCCCTCTCCCTTCTTCTTTCTAGTGTCGTAAGGCACAGTTCCCTCAGGCGCTCCTCATACCCCATCCCTCGTAGCTCTGGGCGAGACTCGTTGCAAACCTCTGAACCTTTTCCAGTTTCATTATATGCTTCTTCAGATGGGGACTCCATGATGAGGCGGCATACTCTAAGACTGGCCTCACGTAGGCAGTGTAAAGCGCCCTAAATGCCTCCTTACTTAGGTTTCTGAATGATGTTCTAACTTTTGCCAGTGTAGAGTACGCTGCTGTCGTTATCCTATTAATATGTGCCTCAGGAGATAGATTAGGTGTTACGTCCACCCCCAGGTCTCTTTTCACGCGTCGTTACAGGTAGGCTGTTCCCCCTTCATTGTGTACTGTCCCTTTGGTCTCCTATCTCCTAGTCCCATTTCCATAACTTTACATTTGCTCGTGTTGAATTCTAGTAGCCATTTCTCTGACCATCTCTGCAATCTGTTCAGGTCCTCTTGGAGGATCCTGCAATCCTCATCTGTCACAACTCTTCTCATCAACTTTGCATCATCCGCAAACATCGACATGTAGGACTCAACGCCTGTAAACATGTCGTTAACATATACAAGAAATAGAATTGGTCCCCAGCACCGATCCTTGTGGTACTCCACTTGTTACTGTTCGCCAGTCCGACTTCTCGCCCCTTACCGTAACTCTTTGGCTCCTTCCTGTTAGGTAGTTCCTTATCCATTCTAGGACCTTTCCCCCCACCCCCGCCTGCCTCTCGAGCTTGAACAGCAGTCTCATGTGCGGTACTGTGTGTGTTGTGTGTGTGTGTGTGTGTGTGTGTGTGTGTGGTGTGTGTGTGTGTGTGTGTGTGTGTGTGTGTGTGTGTGATACAGAGCATTCCTACACCAGCTGGTTCGTGTACACATTCATGTCGTCTTGGTTTGTATGATAATTGATAATTAAATAGCTGATAAAGTGCTTGCAGCCCTAAGACACTTTCCTCAAGTTGAGTCGTGTGAAACTGAAAACAAGTCGAAGAGTGTTTGTAAATATGTACAAGTGTGTGTACGTATGTACAAGTGTGTGTGTACACATGTACAAGTGTTGTGTACATATGTACAAGTGTTGTGTACATATGTACAAGTGTTGTGTACATATGTACAAGTGTTGTGTACATATGTACAAGTGTTGTGTACATATGTACAAGTGTGTGTACATATGCTCAAGTGTGTGTGTTCATATGTACAAAATTGTGTACATATGGGCACAGTACAATACCTTGTTACGAGTGTCATTACAAAGCAGTCTCAACAGATTTACTATTATTTAAATTGGTAATTTCACCCAATTTTGAGTATCAATTTGACACACGCAGATAAATAAATACTGAAGAGATAATTAAATATAAATGCATGTCCTAACCTCAGCCTTATTAAGTTCCGGGAGCAACACCAAAGCACAGCTGGACTCTCACCTGCAAAAAAAATAAAAATGCTAAATTAGACTATTATCTTTAAAATAATTCTCGTAATAATAACAATTTTTTTTTAAATAAGTTTGTTTTGGGGAGATTGATTATAAATAGTTGTAGGAGTCTAGAAAACGATTATACCTTGAACCAGGAGCTATGTCACGACACACACACAGTAGCATTACGTACGACTGTTCAAGACACTTCCACTCCACATAAGGGGCATAACTGGCCGACCCCTCACGAGAAAACTTGATAAGGACCTCCAAAGGATACCTGATCAACCAGGCTGTGTCTCATACGTCAGACTGCGAGCAGCTGCGTCCACCAGCCTGGTTGACCAGTCCAGCAACGAGAAAGTCTGGTCGAGGACCGGGCCCCGAGGACGCTAAACCCCGGAATCATCTCAAGGTAACCCCCAAGGTAAGGCTCGGTAACGTCTCTGTGGGAAACCATACACAGACTTCACTCATTTAACGTCAGTTCTGCAACACAAAGTAACTTAAACAGTCAATACTGTGTTTGGAACACAGTACTGACAACACCCAGGGAGCAACAACCTGGCAAAAAATAAACCAACAGCATGAAATGCGGGAAGTACTTTTCTTCGTTGTGTCCCGGAAGGTTGGTAGCTCTTCGTTGTGTTCTGGAAGGTTGGTAGCTCTTCGTTGTGTTCTGGAAGGTTGGTAGCTCTTCGTTGTGTCCCGGAAGGAGGTTGTGGCTCTCCGCTGGGTCCTGGAAGGAGGCAGGTGGCTCTCCGCCGGGTCCTGGAAGGAGGCAGGTGGCTCTCCGCCGGGTCCTGGAAGGAGGCAGGTGGCTGTCCGCCGGGTCCTGGAAGGAGGCAGGTGGCTCTCCGCCGGGTCCTGGAAGGAGGCAGGTGGCTCTCCGCCGGGTCCTGGAAGGAGGCAGGTAGCTCTCCGCCGGGTCCTGGAAGGAGGCAGGTGGCTCTCCGCCGGGTCCTGGAAGGAGGCAGGTGGCTCTCCGCCGGGTCCTGGAAGAAGGCAGGTGGCTCTCCGCCGGGTCCTGGAAGGAGGCAGGTGGCTCTCCGCGGGGTCCTGGAAGGAGGCAGGTGGCTCTCCGCGGGGTCCTGGAAGGAGGCAGGTGGCTCTCTGCCGGATCCTGGAAGGAGGCAGGTGGCTCTCCGCCGGGTCCTGGAAGGAGGCAGGTGGCTCTCCGCGGGGTCCTGGAAGGAGGCAGGTGGCTCTCCGCCGGGTCCTGGAAGGAGGTAGGTTGCTCTCCGCCGGGTCCTGGAAGGAGGTAGGTGGCTCCCGCCGGGTCCTGGAAGGAGGCAGGTGGCTCTCCGCCGGGTCCTGGAAGGAGGCAGGGGGCTCTCCGCCGGGTCCTGGAAGGAGGCAGGGGGCTCTCCGCCGGGTCCTGGAAGGAGGCAGCTGGCTCTCCGCCGGGTCCTGGAAGGAGGCAGCTGGCTCTCCGCCGGGTCCTGCAAGGAGAGCAGCTGGCTCTCCGCCGGGTCCTGGAAGGAGGCAGGGGGCTCTCCGCCGGTTCCTGGAAGGAGGCAGGGGGCTCTCCGCCGGGTCCGGGAAGGAGGCAGGTGGCTCTCCGCCGGGTCCTGGAAGGAGGCAGGGGGCTCTCCGCCGGTTCCTGGAAGGAGGCAGGGGGCTCTCCGCCGGGTCCTGGAAGGAGGCAGGGGGCTCTCCGCCGGGTCCTGGAAGGAGGTAGGGGGCTCTCCGCTGGGTCCTGGAAGGAGGCAGGGGGCTCTCCGCCGGGTCCTGGAAGGAGGCAGGTGGCTCTCCACCGGGTCCTGGAAGGAGGCAGGGGGCTCTCCACCGGGTCCTGGAAGGAGGCAGGGGGCTCTCCGCCGGGTCCTGGAAGGAGGCAGGTGGCTCTCCGCCGGGTCCTGGAAGGAGGCAGGTGGCTCTCCGCGGGGTCCTGGAAGGAGGCAGGGGGCTCTCCACCGGGTCCTGGAAGGAGGCAGGGGCTCTCCACCGGGTCCTGGAAGGAGGCAGGGGGCTCTCCACCGGGTCCTGGAAGGAGGCAGGGGGCTCTCCACCGGGTCCTGGAAGGAGGCAGGTGGCTCTCCGCCGGGTCCTGGAAGGAGGCAGGGGGCTCTCCACCGGGTCCTGGAATGAGGCAGGTGAACGTACGTCTCCAAGATAACAAACCAACCTCACACAAGCAGCCCTCGACATCTGACCTTCAGACCCACCCACTCAAGAAAGAGCTCCCACGGTCCCCTGAGAGACGAACATATATCAGCCTCAGTCGATACATTTTCAAATCTGAATTATACTTTATTCAATGATTCAAAAAACAATTGGTGAATTATCTCAGCATTTAAGCCTAAGCATTCTCTCACGCGATAACCGCACACTGATTGGTAGTCGCCAATGAAGTGGAAGAATTTCCAGCCCACCAATCATCAAAAAGCTAACCAATATGCTACCGAAATGCTGTGTGCTGATTGGCCAACGTTGGTGATTGAAGGGGGGATCAGAGTTACGGTCGAATGAGGATGACGTTGCGACATGACTGAGCAAAGGACATGAGGAGGAAGTATCGGGTATGAGGGGGGGGGGGGGGGAGGTGAGGAAGTATTGTCGATGAGGAAGAGAATCTGTGAGGGTGACTACTGTTACTCAAGAGATACGAGACAAGATTATTAAGGAAACAATGTGAGGGAGAAATATCGCCGAATAAGTGAGAAGCGTCGCCGGATGAGGGACAAATATCGTGGGAAGTAGGGACACGTTATCGTCGAAAGTAGGGACAAGCTATCGTCGGAAGTAGGGACAAGCTATCATCGGAAGTAGGGACAAGCTATCATCGGAAGTAGGGACAAGCTATCGTCGAAAGTAGGGACAAGCTATCGTCGAAAGAGGGAGAAGTATCGTCTCATAAAAGGAGAATGAGATGGAAAGTGTCGGGTGAGAGTGTGTCGGAAGTGTCGGAAAGTTTCCGAAGTTTCCGAATGTCGGAAAGTATCGTCGAAAAAGGGAGAAGTGTCGTCTCATAAAAGGAGAATGAGATGGAAAGTGTCGGGTGAGAGGAGGACAGGAAGGGGAGTGTGTCAGGTGAGAGGGGAGAGAGAGCAGAGACCTGAGGGGATCTCGACGGCGGTACGTGGGCAGAGTTGTCATGGCGACGAGCCCTGGGAGCGGGGGAGAGAGAGAAAGAGAGAAAGATTGCACAGATATTGTAGAGTACAAAAGAGAGAGAGCGATTGCAGAGAGAGAGAGAGAGAGAGAGAGAGAGAGAGAGAGAGAGAGAGAGAGAGAGAGAGAGA